AAACGAGTTTTTCGTTATTACTGTAAAATTATAAATAATGGAGGTTTTTGCATCAAACCCTTTTATATTATTTCAAGAAAAGACACTACGTGGAATGTCCTTATAATTGATCTTGGAAATCTTCTGCATTATAGTAGGAAAGCCGATCGTAAATTTTTGATTACATCAACGCGTACTGATAAGATATGATAAAAACAAAGTCAGTCACATCTTAAACATCAAACTTGGCGATATGACCAGCTTCTAATATCATCATTACGCGATGCACCCAAAACTTTGCGGTCGTGTCTTGGACTGTTACTACTTTACAAATAAAAACAGTGGCGATCTTCTTTGTTTGGGGATTCGCTTATAGAAGGCTCTGCATGTACCAAGGCAGTGTTGTCAATAGCCATAAAATGTTAAGAAAACGTTACATTCATTTCAGTTCAGCCCGTTTCACGGTTTATAGTGGTACGTCAAAAAGTAATACGAAATGAGTAAACATCGTCTTTAGGCCAGGCTGACTAGATGGCTGGTAATCCTGTCAGACAGATCGATGATTAGTCAAATAAGCAATTTCAGGTTAGACATTTTTTTAATTTCAAGCTGATCCGCCTCTTTTGTTACTAAACTAAGTCTTCTAATATTCCACTTAGTGGCCTAAGAGTTAAATAGCTATATGATAACTTACAGGCTTTAAGACTAACTTATCTCGCGAAAGGCGTGATTTATAGCTCTATTGAAGGGAAATTTCGTAGGCTGCAAACCCTTGATCAATATCCTCACCATAAATAAATGTCAAAAAAAAAAGAAAATTTGGAAAAAAATGCATCCACTGCCAGTGATGATCAATGAATTCATGCAAAAAATGATTATCTACCTAGCAACACTGTATTAATCTCCGACTAAGTATGAACAGCACGTGCTTAGGCACCATCAGCAGTTCTGTGAATGCCATGTTTTTGGAGTAATCTTTTATCTCTCTCTCTAATTATATTCACCTTGTCTATGTCTTCTCTTCATATAATCACTCTTTGGTTAAACTGTCTATAAACTGGAATTCCACAAAGTTCATTCGTGACGCTGAAGCTAGACTAAATAAAGTTTTAGCTTTCTGCCGTTGTTGTTCTCTATTCAGCGAAAAACGGAACAAATTTTCTACGCCAGCTTCCACAAAGTGCAGCAACACTTCCGTCCTACTTCAATACTTCTGGGATACTTCTCAAAAATATTTGGTCCTATCAAAAGCACAGCGTGGGTATCATGCCGCACTTCTGCAAATTATTGTGAATGGGCAAATAAAAGCATAAATACAAGGATTATAATGGTGGATGCATATATTTCAGCCTCGCAACTCACAAAAATGATTATTACAAACGTTGTTGCTTAATGATACACACTTCGTTAAAGCAAGGCTCTGTTACCCTGATAAGCAATATTATTAAATAGTTATTCTAGATGTCGGGCCAGATATTTTTTATAACTCCGGAGCAACCTGAAGCCTAAATTAATGGTAATTCTGACCCACTTATTTTTTCAATAACTAGGGGAGCATATTAATAGATTAGCTAACTAGGTCAATTTTCACGGTTCAAAAATTGCAGCCGTTCTTATCGCCATTCTTGCCCTCAAGTCGATCAAATTGAGCATATCAGAAATCTCATTGTGCTAACGCGGTATCGATATTTCAGCAGTATAGGGATGAGTTCGGCAACAAAAGTTAGCTACTCAAAAGGCATTAACAGTTAAACAAACATTATTATACGTATGTTAACATGGAACTAAAAATTGATTCTATGTGTTATCCGTAAAGTGATTTAGGGATTACTTAGAATTTGCAATTGTTTTGGTTAAGGTTGAATCCTTAATGAACATTTTTTAGCCATGGACATGCACCGAGATGGATGCCATCTGGGACTTAATTCTGATCAAATTCGATCCTAGAAGTCAATTTCAATGTCACCCTGCTATCATAAATATTATCCTCTACAACTATTTCAACAGTGTCATGAACATTTCCATATAGAAACTAGGTATCAAAGTGTTATCATGACGGATCATATGTATGACATCAATACAATACCGATATTAATTTGGAGAGACGTTATTCAATTTGAATCGGGTACCTAGAAATAAAAATTACATTGCAGTTAGACAAGATAAAAATTTTGCTAAACGGAAGAAATGTTCGTAGAAAAAATAACATTCGATTATTTTGGGCTCGAAAGGATTCTGCAAACCTAGGCTATACTAATGCATCATTCTACATATTGACATGATTCTATTCAATCGGTACTCTATGCCTTAATTCTATTCACGATGTCATAGCTGACACTTTTGAGATGTCGCCTACTTTGATAGGTGCAAAGGAGATCGTGATTCACTAGTAAATGAAAAATAGGAGTGTTGGTCCAATTGTTGAAGAATACCATTTAATACTCAATGCACAATTTATTTGTTCAACAATTCCACAAATCGCTTGTCTTTAATGGTAAAGAGATCACACTCTTCTAGCATCATCATTTTTCTAGGTGTTATACTCTTCCACTTCTTCGCCTACAAAACACACACCAATGCATCACAACCTTTTTGTGAGTCTTTGTCGTGTTCATTAATGCCCTCCATTTCATCAATCTTTTGCAACTATTTCCCACTCACACGATAATTTTCTCTAGATCTCTATACCTTCTTACAAACTTTCTTCAGTCTAGTCTTTCCCAAAATCACGTTGCTCAGGAGTCGGTTGCCATTATTGTCTACCACATGTCCTGCAGCAGTTCTGCCCAGCTTAACCTGTAATTATTTTGTGAATCTTACTATATTTTCTTTCCCGAGCAGCGTTCCTAACTTGTTGTTATATCTGCGCTGCCATTCATTTGTGCCTCTGCAACGGTAAGAAGGTATCCATACCATAAATTTCTGCCCTCTCATGCTAACTTCCATCCTATGGCCTCCTAGAGAAGCTTTGCGGATGAATGACTGTCTTCCTCTCTGGCCGCAAGATGTACGTCGTTATTGACGGGTTCTCCTGTTCATCCCACAATATCAACGCGAGTGTTTCTCAGAGACAGGCCTTGGCTCCAATATTGCTTCTATCAAACGTCAAAGACATCCTTCCTGTAAGATCAATCTAATCCACAGCTTTGCTGATAACAACACTCTACACTCTCTGATGAGAGATCTGGAGGTTACCAATGCTCGTCCGGTTTCGATAGATGGCCGAGTTCATTTCGGCTGCTTGGAATCCAGATCACCGAGAACTTGACCTGGCATGAAGACATCTCGTCAATCGCGGCAACTACTTGTCTTTTCATTTCGAACTAAGAAGTACTTTTCTCTACCTAACCCCCTCACTCAGTACAAGACCCAGATAAGATCTAGCCTCGAGTACTGCATACATATTTTACCCTGATGTGAACAGGGTTTTCTTGGTAAGGGGAAGGGGTGGCTCCCGGCAATACCAGCTGCAAAACAGCTAGAAGTAAAGCTGGAGGAGTGTGTGGTATCTCTCCGCAATACCTTCAACGCTGAAGAGTAAAATCTCATTAGAAAATGGACGGGGTAGCACCCAAACCAAAGCAACTAAAGGTAAGGTGCCATATGAAGGGGTACTACTCCACAAACTGGTGTTCGGCACCTAATATCCCAGAATTTGGAGGTTGACCAAATGGCACCCACCCACAATCTCAGGAGGAAAGTGACTGACCTGAAACACCTAACTTCATAAAGGAAGGTTCAATGAGTGGCATTGACGAAGATTTGTTCGATAGAGAATCAAGTAAATGAGAAAAACCACAGTTTTTTTCCCAATACAATAGTGAATCACTGAGAAAGAAAGATAATACGTGTAAAGTTATACAATCAATAAACTATGACATTTACAAAAGAAAATCATTGAAAAGGGTTTGGCCTAGGAATGGGCACTCTACCATTAATAAAAAGAAATACAAATTACTAGTGAGTGATCAAACTAGTAAAAGAAAAGGCACGTGGCAATAAGTAAAAATCAATATAAATAAAACAATTCATATGAATGTTCAATTCCATATTTACGAATTCACGGTTGTACGTTCCATATATTCATACTTATGTTATAAAATGCATCTGATGCTAATGATTTTCTATCTTGATTTTTAAACCGAAAATAATTACTGATTTGATGTATTTCAGCTGGTAATTTATTATATAATTTGATGCAGTTATAGTAGAGTGATTTTTTGAAATGTGTTGCGGTATGTGTATGGATGATTTTCAAATTTTGATATCTGGTATTATAATTGTGATGAGCATTAATATTTGGGAATAGGCTATTGAACTTCTTAACGTAAGTTACACATTTCAAAATGTAAGTATTGTGTAATGTTAGAATTTCTCGTGATTTAAAAATTCCTCTACAGGAGTTAAGTGGCTTCATTCCGAAAATTAATCTGATGATTCTTTTTTGACAGCAAATACTCTATTAATTTCGGAAGATTTTCCCCATATCATAATGTTATTAGACATATGGCTATAAGTCAGCCCATAATATACATTGATAAAAGATTTCTCATTTAGGACATCTTTGAGTTGTAAGATGGCAAAATATGTTTTATTTAAATTTTTACATACGTGTTCTTGAAAATTTAGTTTACAATCAAAATATGTGCCTAAGTAAGCAATTTACGAGAATCCGATAAAATACGATCATGCATTTTCAAGACTAAGACATCTGTACGTTGGATGTTAAAATAGATAACAGTTTTATTGCAATTTAAAATTAACCGATTTCTTTGGGACCAAGCAGAAAAATCATCGAATAGACTTTGAATTTTGGAGTGAGGGTGATTGACACTTAGAGCTTAGAAATCGGATTAACAAGGTGTCTCTAACGTTTTCATCGCAGTCGCGGTGCCCCGGTGTTCAGGCTTCTGCCTAAACAATTATTTCTTATATGAAATGTCTTCAGCATTCGATGTATTTGTAACAGGTGTTTTAAATTATTTTACTTTTAAATCCAATATCCTAATGCCTCTACATACCGTGACTCACCTGCAGCCCAATGCACCACCGTGTGCTCCTCATTATCCACCGCATTGACATCAGCTCCATTAGCCAACAGGAACGTGACCAACTGCATGTTTCCGGCGATCACCGCCAGATGGAGCGGCGTGAACCCGTCGTCGTCCCTGCCTTCGACCAGCTCAGGGGCGGCCATGACCAGAAGGTCCGCGGCCTGGGCGGCGCGCACGCCACTGGTGCTCGTGGTACAGTAGTGCAGGGCCGTCTTGCCGGAGCGGTCGGTCCCGAAGACCAACGATGGCTGCAGGTAAAAATTCAGTTAGATGATCCCACAAATAGATGTCCAAATGCGTATACATGCAATCATATACAAATTCTATAAATGAAAATGCCTTTGTTGTATCACCATAGCGACAAATAAATTGATAGGTAAGCTCTGCACTTCCATGCAACGCTGTCATTGGTTCATGAAGGATTATGTTCGGCCCAAGTTAGTCCCTTTGAGATAACTAAAAACGTATACGTATAACAAAAAATTAGATTGTTCATGTCAGCCAATTCGGTCCAAATACAATTAGTACACATTCCTAGTCTTCATCCATTTGATAACGCTAACGCTAGTTTTTCCCTGTCCAGACCGACAGACAGACTAATGGAAATAAATGACATGGTTTTTCGTGACCTACTCGTACATGTCAAATAACATAAAAAAAAACGTAATTCCTCATTTTCGAAATTTTTCGCGACTACAATACTTCGTCGCCAATAGGAGTGGGAAGTAACAAACGTTCTCACCTGAAGAATCGAAAGAACAGAACTTGTTTACATTCAAAAATCTTGTCTTAACATTTTTGTTGACCACGGCTTCAACTCATCAGGAAGGTAGATAACATCGAGGAACAAATACCTATGGGTGTTTTTTAAAAGTTTTTATACCTAATAGATTCTCCTGGTTAGACCCTCAAAGTACTAGAAACTCAAGAAGTATCGCAAAAACGAAGTTCAAGGATATATATATATATATATATATCCTTGAATTTCTTTGGGTAGAAGGCAAAGTATTGCAAAAGTACACTCTTACAACTTAAACTCAAGCTTTCGAAGATCTATGTCTTCATCGTCTGGAGCTGGAAACAATTATTGACAATAGCAACAATTAACAATTAGGAGGCAAAATAGTTACTTACTAAGTCGGCGAGATTGTTGCTGAAATACTTGCTTTCGAAGATCTATGTCTTCATCGTCTGGAGCTGGAAACAATTGTTGACAATAGCAACAATTAACAATTAGGAGGAAAAATAGTTAGTTACTTAGTCGGCGAGATTGTTGCTGAAATTGTTTTTAAATAACACTGGAAGACATTGAAATTCACCAAAAGAATTGAAGGGAAATAGAAGATTTTTTAAGTTTGGCCAGTTCTTCAAGACAAGATGATTGCTTTGAAAATAACCTTGATAGATAGGAAAATGAGGCACAAAACATCAAGGAAGACATCAAGATGAATCCAAAAGAAGGAGCGAATAGAATTCATGAAGAAAACAGGAGAGAATTTGGTACAGAAAAAAATACCGAAGTAAACGTTAAAACAAATCAACAAGAAAAACCAAAAATCGACGCAAAGCAATAATAAAAAAAAGTAAAGACCAAAACGGGATACAAAATTATAATGAGAAGGATGGAAATAACCGCTATGTTCACGAAGGGTGTGGTGTGTAGGTTTAATGAAAAAAGATAAAATTTCATTTGTTTCTATTGATTGTGAGTCTGAATAAGCTTTAAATATAAACTTACGTTAATCCTCATTATTTTCTATTTCTCCGTATTTTTTAAATATAGTCATAGTTGGCATTATATGGGACAAGATGTTCCTAAAAGCGCCAACTGCAATATATATCAAACAAACGAAAATTTGTTTGTTTGAATTGTTACAAGGAAACATGGCACTATATTTTTTATTCTAATAATGTAGAGATAATAATTACCAAGATTCATAAAATTTTAAAGGTCATTTATGAAGCTATGCAAAATAAAACGTTAACATGGCGTTATTTGGATCAAGTAAGTACCTTATAGCTTTTCGTGATGTAGATGTCACCTAAAAACCTAAAAAACATAACATCTGATTTTAGAAATGTTTCGCACCACTGGCGTGCAAAGTAAAACGGCTTTAAGATGGCGGAGACATTTTTTTTTCAATTTGCCGAAGCAGTCTAAGCGTCAGGAAATCAGGATATTACCAACTTAGATTTCATTTATTGGTCAGTGTAAGAGAGATAGATCAGAGAGACAACCAGGGCGTAAGTTCAGAAGTTACATTTATGTAACTAGCTGCGAACATTTACTTCGCACCAGCGATTGCGATTATAAACAGCTATTTGTAGAATGACTTATACAGGGTGTTTCAGTTTATTGTTGCATAACTCTAAGATTCGATAGAACTTTTAAAATTAATGCATAAAGTCTATATAAACATGGGTCGAAAAATGCGTGGCTTCCGAAATACAGGGTGTTTAAATTTACTTTCTAAAATAGTTTTTTTTTAAATATTTCGAACAATATTTGATGTATAACAGTGAAAATTGGTATACAAGGGTTTTTTGGTACGACAACACGAACCATGGGCATAGTTTTACTGTAGCCGCTAGAGGGCGCTCTCTACTGTACCTGTAGTGTATTAAAATGACCGAAAAATTTTTCTTGGTGCAATTTTTTGCTTTTTGAATAAAAAAACTTTTTCGCACTTTTTGCGCAAAAAAGCTCTCCTGTGAGTTTTCGTTATAGTTAGCCGTTTTTGAGATATTTCGATTTTTAAGGTTCGATGCATTTTTAATTATTTTTGGGAAAATAATATTTTTTTTTTACATTTTCGATTTGAGCATTACAAATAATTAAGATGATCGTTTAGATTGTGTTTTTAAACACAGCAATAATTCCTAACTCCAAATAAACACAAAAAAACAGAATATTAATTTGTTTAATTTTCCAATATTATTTTTAACAAATTAAATTAATTATTTACAACTAAAATGCTATTGGATAGTTAGGACAAACATACAAAATCTAAAGTAGTTGCTCGAAATGTAAACCCAATTGTTCAATACACAATTCACATCTACGGATGATCGAACGTGGTATAGCATTATTCAAATAAGGCCTTATTTCATCACATGCATTCCTGATTCTGTCTGTTAGCATATCTCTTGTGGTTACGGGAGTCTGGTACACTTTTTCTTTTAGAAATCCCCACACAAAGAAATCTAATGGATTTAGGTCAGGGAATCGTGGAGGCCAGGCGATTGGTCCTCCACGGCCGATCCATCTTTCTGGATAATTTTCGTCCAGCTAGTTTCTAACTATTCTCGAATAATGAGCTGGACAACCATCAAGCTGGAACCAGGCCAATTTTCTTAAATCTAACATAACATCATCCCACATATTTGCATGTTCAGCCTTTAAAAATTCCAAGAAGGTCGCAGCATTTAACCTTGCAGGCAAAAGGTAGGGTCCAAATAGTCGATTACGGTAGATACCAATCCACACGTTCCCACTAAATTCATGCTGAAAATTTCTTTCCCGAACTGCATGCGGATTTTCATGCTACCAAATATGTTGATTATGAAAATTTACCACTCCACGTCTAGTGAAGCATGACTCATCGGTCCATAAAACGTTACTTAAAAACTCCCTATTATTAAAAAAAATTTCGGTCATTTTAATACACTACAGGTACAGTAGAGAGCGCCCTAGCGGCTATAGTAAAACTATGCCTATGGTTCGTTTTGTCGTTCCAAAAACCCTTGTATACCAATTTTCACTGTTATACAGCAAATATTTTTCGAAATATTTAAAAAAAACTATTTTAGAAAGTAAATTTAAACACCCTGTATTTCGGAAGCTACGCATTTTTCGATCCATGTTTATATAGACTTTATGCATTAATTTTAAAAGTTCTATCGAATCTTAAAGTTATGCAACAATAAACTGAAACACCCTGTATACATGATATTATATGAAACAGGGCCACCAAATCATCCGAATACGTCCTTTCTGTATCCTCATGCATTGTTTCTGGAGCAGTTCGGGAGCGTATCACTCTTAAACCAAACACCGCTGGAAAGCAACCCAGGACAAAGAACATACTATTGTACATAACGTACAGGGTGTTATGTTGTTGACTTGGATCTCAATGAGATACTTTGAATGGACCGTGGTATTTTTCAAAATATCCCTTCAAAAGAAGGTTCATAGCGCGTAGAAAATGATACCGATGGTCAGTTATTGAGCAGATAATCATTTTCTCTAAAAATAAACATCCACACGAAACCGTAAACCTTACATGAAGGAGACCGGTGCCTTCAGTTTATCGAGTATGGAGCGCATTCTTGGAAAATAAGTAGTCTGTTTGGATAGACCGATTTCCAATAAAAAGACTGCTATGGTATTCCGTAGAGCTCTCATAAATAGGTAATGGTTGAGCGATCCGCTGGGAAACATTAGCAAAATACGTTGACCCAGTGAGCATTCCTGTTTCAATAGTTGACTTTTCAGAAGGGCCATCTTTCAGTGGAAAAATCGTTGTATTTCGGTTTTATACGATTCCATCAATATTTACAATTTATTTTATTATCTATAAAGATGGCAATGCAGTATTTGATGCCTCCTGGTACCAAAACAACCTATGGTCGTGAGTCTTTTTCTACGTTTTACGCAGTATTAAACAAGTGTGATCCAAATTCCCAATTATAATTTATAATATAACGATGGTAGTTTTAATAAAAATGATGGGGTTCTGATTTAGGTAGGAGAAAATTTAAACAGTGGGTATGAAATTATTAATATAACTCAAACAAAACTTTTACGAGTTATTCTTCATAAGAATAACAAATGGATATGGATCATTGGTGTGTACAAATCGCCCTCTATATCTGTAACATCATTTAACAGATTATCTAGAGAGCAGTAGAAAATTTGACATCAACTTATTCATTGAAAACCTTAACATTAACATATTAGATCATAACAATCAAAATATTCAAGATTATTTAAACATTATGGCTGAAAATGATAACCTGTCAGCCATTTACGAAATGACAACAGTAGAGGGAAACAGTGGGAGCTGTATAGATCATATGTTTATAAATTCACGTATAGAACTTGACAAAATATATTCAGCAATTCTAAAATAGAAAATTTCTGATCATTTTCCTACGTTGCTCAAAATCGATCTTAAAAGTACATCAACCAAAAATGAAAAGACAGTGAATAATACAAAAATTTACATTGATTATGAAAAACTGAACA